CTTACATTAAACATTTCCAAAAAAAGGTCAACCTTTCCGAGATAAAGTTTATAGCTGAAGGCCTTAAAAAGGAAGAAAAATAAAAATCGTAATAAACAAAATTAATGACAACTATTTTACCCAAACCTATTCTATAAAACGTTTACACAAATACAGTTCAGTAAATAAACAAAACATATTTTTTAAAATTGAACTTTTATTTTGTATGTTGAATGACAATTTGCGTTCCATTGAAATCTAACTCGCTAAATCCAATTACATAGTTTCAGTTTTCGTTCCAAAAAATGTTGCACTTTTACAAAAAGTGAACGCCGACGCCGAGGGCATCGAAAATGGGCCTATTAAGCCATTTGTTAGTCCTTTGTACAGACGGAAGTCAGATCAAACTATACATTGCTGTTGCAAAATCGTCTGTATTACAACTGGATAAGAAGCCACAATATTAAGCTTGACATGCTAACCTCTGTACCTACAACACGATAAATTCGTTCCCACAACGCTCCCTAACGTTTTGAGTTTCGACAACGTTTCCGACACCATTTTTAGGGTTCCATAAAACTTCTGAAAACACAGAACCTTCGTAAGGTCAATATGTCGACGCCCGAGCACAAAATATTATGTAGGAAAGGCAAATTCGCACATTATAATTAGGTATATGCAATCACATTTTTGTCCGCCGAAAAAATTAGGTACTTTTCTTGATAAGGATGTGGAATAGTTATAAAATCTGGCGTTAAGAGTCGCCTCTCGATCAAAATTTTTAATTGTCACGTTCGATTTTTTTCAACTTATTTTAAAAATTTAGAGTGTGGAATAAAATTCGGAATTTTCGCATTCAAGATACATTCTGTCCTGAAGCAATCGATCTTCAAAAATTTGCTGCTTCACTTAAGCAAGCATCGTTTGTGATTACAGGCATTAATTTTATAACGTACTAGCTTTCCGCCCGCGGCTTCGCCCGCGTGGAATTTTGTCTGTCACAGAAAAACTTTATCGCGCGCGTCCCTGTTTCAAAAACCGGGATAAAAACTATCCTATGTTCTTTCCCGGGACTCAAACTATCTCTATGCCAAATTTCATCAAAATCGGTTGCGAGGTTTAAGCGGGAAAGCGTAACAGACAGACAGACAGACAGACAGACAGAGTTACTTTCGCATTTATAATATTAGTTGGGATGGACTCCTGCATGTGAGTACCTACAACCCCTGCTTGACCGGTTTTTTTGACTAAGTAATTTATCGCACAACTCACTCGTCGTAGAAACGTCACCGGTTCTATTTCAACCTCGTAAGCTTTCTGCTTTTTGTTCGGCTCCGGTTTTTACGCACGGGGAAAACAATTTGTACGAAAAATGGCTTTTCAAATCGTTTGAGAGGAACGAAAAATAGATTTGAGTGACGTAAAAAATCAACAGTATAGACCTACCAGTTACCGCTTTAAAAAAATGGGTGGCTTTGACATTTTCATGAAATTCGTTAGTGTATCGAAAGCTGCAGTTTTAAAGACTACACACAAAGCCCGCTGACAGCCCGGTGACTTGATGCTAACACATTATTTCAAAAGAATCATGTTGACGACTTCATCTATGACTTTCATGTAAAAAGTCGACGATTAGAACTGAAACACCCACGTTCTATTGATAACTATGTCAATTATTTTTCAGTCGACATAGGCAGAAATAAACCTCCAGAGAGGTTTGGTTGCCATATAAAAAAAAAGTCGACGATTCATATCAACGGATCGATGAGTTTGATATGTAGTAGACTGCATGAGACCAACCATTGGTTAAACTTGGGTAATTTCACCTAATCGACAATGTTATGAGTGAACTTCAGTGGTTTCCTCAGAAGATCCATTGATTATGAATCATAATTTATGAGGAAATCGATGGTTCTGTAACTAGAAACCTTGGCTGATAACGTACACGACGATGCAACTCAATATACTAACATCACTGTGTTGAAATTGTGAACAAGATACCACTGAAGTGGAGGAACACATAGTTCGGTTATAGTACTCGTATTACAGCAACAACAATATTCTACGGTATGATACCACAGTGTTAAGCTAGAAAGACAAAGTCAAAGTCTCTTTATTTGTATATATTATTTAAATAGTACTTACAAATCGTCAAATCTTTTGCTCATAAGGAGCCTCTACATGTCTCATAATATTTTTACCCTACCAGCGCTTCGAGACCAACATTTGGCAAGTGCTGAGAAGAAGCGCCGAAACAAACTCAGTCACCACTGTCTGTCGATTAATAGATAATAAATAATAAATAGAAAGAAATAGAAATAGTGTGTGGTGTCTACAAGGTCTAAAAGCCCCGATAAACAGTAGACGTAGGACAAAACCTTTTCCTATGTTATATTTTGTGACATTATTCAACTGAGTTTTATTTAAAACTTTTAAAACGTTGGATGATAAACCGGCTGAAAATGCCAATTTTGACAACGACAATTTTTCTATAACGATTAAAATATTTTCATTCTTTTGGGATATTGATTACGATGATGTGAAAAGACACTTATGACAAGTCCTCTCTTTTTTGCGATAAAAAAATAACAAATTACCTAACAAGGTTGTAGAACTTTCACCATTTAATAAATGATACCTATTTGGCTCAAAACGAAACGTTGATGCGTCTGCCAAATTGCTGTGCCTATTTCATAATCCCTTACAGCAATACTTAAATTTAAATCTTAGAGCATAAATTAGAAAATGCAAACTTAAAGTAATTAAATCTCGTAACAGCTCTAGTTAATTCCGTAAGCCATTTTCAAATTTTAGCTGTGGGTCATTTATCAAACACAATTTAAACTCAGGATTAAAGCGTTCATCGCGGCAACTCCAAAGTTTTGTGAGCTTTTTATAGTGTAAGAGAACTTTAATTACTTTGAGGTATTTAGATTTAAGTGGCCAAGTTGTAAAGGTCTTTGCTGCTCCTTGCAAAAAAGGGTTGTGCTGGAGACCGGAAATGAGTTGGTAACTCGTTATACAGGATGTTGGATGAATGTATTACGCGTATTTATAGAACAATAAGGCAACAGGCACCGCGTTAACTTGGTAATTTGTATTGCAAGAAATAAAAAGGTATATCAGAGATAATTCTTAGTATTAGGCTACCATTACTCAAAAACACCAGATCGTCGGATCGGAGCCGGGAGGTGCCTGGATGCGAGCGGCGCAGGACCGGTCTTTGTGGAAATCCTTGGGGGAGGCCTTTGTCCAGCAGTGGACGTCTTTCGGCTGAAACGAACGAACGAACGAACTCAAAAACATGTGAAATAGAGAACTAAATTTTATATCTAGTAGTACCTATAATTTTGCGAGTAATTTAAATTAGTACCTACTTCAGCCTTTAAGCTCTTCACAATTAGCGTAGCTACGCGCTAAAAAGACTCTTATGACAGTTCAAAGTCCACAGAGATGAAACTTCAGTCAATGCTACAGATTATTTAAAAATGTAACACTTCAAAGCTCACACCAATGCAATGCGTTTTATGAGCCTTCTGAAGTTCTAAGTTATCTTTTAAAGCGTAGGCTGAAATAAGTCGGTAAATCATTATACTGAATGTTCTTGGCCGTGGTTCTGCGTCTACCTTTAGAGATCCGCGGGGAGCATTCGAGGGACAAACGTTCCATTTCACTGGGGTTGGTTAACTTATTTTGCATAAAATGTTCTTGGACACAAAGCTTCAAAGTTTGCGACAATCTGAGTGAAAATTCACGTTCCAGTATTTTTTGTCGGATATTGTGTGGTGATTTAGAATTTCAGAGAGATATATTTTTATTTGTCTACAAAATCAAATGTTGAAGCCATTTCTGTGCTATGTATCACGCAGTTTCATTCAACCTATTGTACCTACCGATTGAGAGTCGCGTTGTAAGAAGCCCTATTTACAGCATTTAAGTATTATTTACCTGCTTGAATAATATTTCACAAAATTTTCTTCAAAGCACGATAGCAAGTTTATGTTGATTCAATCCTACTCTATGTTCTACCCAAACTGAATAATAAATGTTACTTACCAAAATTCCTCGTAAGACACAGTAACCTTTAAGTACCCTTGTCTAATCAGTTCTTCATTTCGGTCACTCCTCACGTCCACTGGACAAATAGCATGAGACAAGGTTGGCACAACAATACGATATTGGCAGTAAGTACGGACGATGGCTCTTAAGAAACATTGTAGCATTTACACAGTCGTAATAGGTGCGATTTTGAAACAAAGTGTTTCGTTGACCGCGTCATTTCTACAAAATTCGGATTGTATTTCAAATATTTGCGCTTAAAGGATAAGAAAAACTTAGAATACACATAACGCTAATAAACACAAATAAACTTATTTTGTTAGTTTTATTGTTATAGGTGCTAATTTTCTACAAAAATGTAGTTCGCCGCTGCTATACGAGGTTACTACGAGGTTACTTCGAGCCTATTACGAGCCTACTACGAGTCTACTACGAGCTCATACTGTCATGACAATGTATTAGCCATGGCTTGCTACGAGCTCGTAGAGTAAGCTCGTAGCAGTGGCAACTAGTAAACTACAGACAATAAAGTTGTCCTTTTCAATTCCGTTAATTTAAAATGCAAAATCTATCTATCTATACATATAAATAAAAATGAATTGATGTTCGTTAGTCTGAAAAAAACTCGAGAACGGCTGGGCCGATTGAGCTGATTTTGGTTTTAAAATGTTTGTCATAGTCCAGGGTAGGTCTAAACGGTGAGCAAATACGCGCGCGGTATTGTTTTTCTGTGACAGACAAAATTCAACGCGCGCGAAGCCGCGGGCGGAAAGCTAGTATTAAATATAGAAGTGAATCCAACCATATTTTCTGCGCATTAGGTCCTCATTTTGTCAATACTTTCTAATATCCTGCGTCTTATCCTGAATTTTTCAAAGTCTTATCGCAACACTTCTGAATACTTTTGTATTGTTGTTATAGGCTCGCTAACTATACTGATGTAATAATGTTATTTTCTTTAGGAGCTGGACACGAGGATTATTATAGGCAGCTTCTCGCAAGAGATGATTCCGAAGATATTTTGCGAGGTGAGTTGCTTTCAAGTGTCATGTTATTATTGCCAATAGTTTCATGCGGGCCTGTGCAAGTCCACCAGAAGTTAAAATACTTAGGCTTAGGCTGAGTTGCACCATCTTATTTAAACTTTGACAAACGTCAAAAATCTGTCAAACTCCATACAAAAAGCACCGGTTATTGTTATTTTTACGGTTAAAATAAGATGGTGCAACTGAGCCTAAGTTGCACCACAAAAATTTTGACAGTAGGTAACTATAACGATAACCGGTGTTTTGTATGGAGCTTGTTGACAGATTTTTGACGTTTGTCAAAGTTAAAGTAAGATGGTGCAACCCAGCCTTAGGCTCTATTTTTAATTTATACTTGTATTTACTCGATTTTCTGCTTCATAAAAATGAAACAAAAATATAGATAAGCAGTAAGTAATTCAGAAAGCTTTACAAAGTAGAAATTGAGGATATTATTGAAGAATAAAATTGTGTTTTCTTAGAAATAAGTTTAAGGTCACGAAAAACTTTCAATTTGAGACATTTTTGGGTGATCTAGCAAGTAATAACTAAGTAAAAGAATAATATTTGAACCTTGACCACGGTAATACTAGCCTTGACCGAGGAAATTGAACGGGACCTTCTTGGAACGTACCATATTGCTTTGCTACTTATGAGATTCGATTATGGATTCGAAACAGTATCTCTAAATTGTGATATTATTATGTTATGTTCAAAAGTATCTGTCGCAAACCTACTTTACTTTCTTTAGGTACTTTGTCTAGAGCAGGGTTTCTCAAAGTGGGGTACACGATCCCCTAGCTAGGGGTTCGCCATTCGACGGCAGTGGGTTCGCGACAAGATTTACCAATTGGTGGTGGTGGGTACCACAGGGCTTCGGTTCTTCAACAGTCAATTTTATTATTTTCTTTAGGGGGGAGGGGGAATTTATCTAGTTAAGGCGTTCGCTCTCACCTTGAAATTTTAACAAGTGTTCGTGGAGCCAAAAATTTGAGAAACACTGGTCTAGAGAAGCTGGTATGTCGCTAACGGGACTATTCCCACCTCTCTTTCCCACCACTGCAACTCCTGTGTAGCCAGGATCTGCAGCTTGACCGCCAATAAAAACCCAACCAGTGTAGGTCAAGTTTGTCACGGGGGAAAGTTAATTAATGTTTATTGTCCGTGGTGCATATCTTTTCATAAAGGTTAATAAACCTTTGTTTATCATCTGTCATCCGCTTTGCAACGGAGGGAAGTCGAACCTTAACTTGGAACTCCTCCTATGTTCTTCTGATGAATTTGACTGTTAAAATGACAGTTTAACTTTCCCTCTGGTATGTCGCTACACTGTAAGAATAAAGCGTTGTATGTATGCGAGCCCGCAGGCGTTCAAGCTGGGCATGTTCGGCGCGGAATACGCGTGGCTGGTGGCGGGCGCGCCGCCGCGAATACGGGGCGCGGCGCCCTGTGCGCGAGCGCAGCTTGCTCGCGCCTTAGAAGGGCTCGTCACTGTGACGGCGCATAGAGGCATCGTGGGTGATGGGACCAGCTTCTCCGGTTTGGTAAGACTAAGAATACAATTATTTTTAGAGGTCCCAGGGCGCGCGGCCTGAGCGCGGGCGCCGCTGGCTCACGCCCTCGAAGAGCTCGTCACTGTGACGGCGCATAGAGGCATCGTGGGCGATGGGACGTCATTCTCTGGGCTGGTAAGATTAGCGTCCTTTTATGTGTGTGCAATTCCAACTCGCACACGCTCTCTGCTTTGCTATGACAGCACATCGCGTCATCATGGGTGACAGCACTTCTTTCGCGTGATTGGTGAGCATGCAATCTTCTTACATCTTTAGCGCCCACAACTCGCCAGCTCGCTTTATGGTACGTATGGTGAGTGTTAATGTGATAACGCCTAAGTGTGTTATTATTAGAATTTTGAATTAGAGCAAATAAAAAAGGANTTTGACAGTAGGTAACTATAACGATAACCGGTGTTTTTGTATGGAGTTTGTTGACAGATTTTTGACGTTTGTCAAAGTTAAAGTAAGATGGTGCAACCCAGCCTTAGGCTCTATTTTTAATTTATACTTGTATTTCCTCGATTTTTTGCTTCATAAAAATGAAACAAAAATATAGATAAGCAGTAAGTAATTCAGAAAGCTTTACAAAGTAGAAATTGAGGATATTATTGAAGAATAAAATTGTGTTTTCTTAGAAATAAGTTTAAGGTCACGAAAATCTTTCAATTTGAGACATTTTTGGGTGATCTATTAAGTATAAGTAAAAGTGTTTTTGAACCTTGACCTCGGTAATACTAGCCTTGACCGAGGAAATTGAACGGGACCTTCTTGGAACGTGCCATATTGCTTTGCTACTTATGAGATTCGATTATGGATTCGAAACAGTATCTCTAAATTGTGATATTATTATGTTATGTTCAAAAGTATCTGTTGCAAACCTACTTTACTTTCTTTAGGTACTTTGTCTAGAGCAGGGTTTCTCAAAGTGGGGTACACGATCCCCTAGCTAGGGGTTCGCCATTCGACGGCAGTGGGTTCGCGACAAGATTTACCAATTGGTGGTGGTGGGTACCACACGGCGGCCGTTTAAAAACCTTATTTTCTTCAACAGTCAATTTTATTATTTTCTTTAGGGGGGAGGGGGAATTTATCTAGTTAAGGCGTTCGCTCTCACCTTGAAATTTTAACAAGTGTTCGTGGAGCCGAAAATTTGAGAAACACTGGTCTAGAGAAGCTGGTATGTCGCTAACGGGACTATTCCCACCTCTCTTTCCCACCACTGCAACTCCTGTGTAGCCAGGATCTGCAGCTTGACCGCCAATAAAAACCCAACCAGTGTAGGTCAAGTTTGTCACGGGGGAAAGTTAATTAATGTTTATTGTCCGTGGTGCATATCTTTTCATAAAGGTTAACAAACCTTTGTTTATCATCTGTCATCCGCTTTGCAACGGAGGGAAGTCGAACCTAACTTCGAACTCCTCCTATGTTCTTCTGATTAATTTCGTTGCGGGTCCAATGACAATTTAACTTTCCCCCTGGTATGTCGCTACACTGTAAGAATAAAGCGTTGTATGTATGCGAGCCCGCAGGCGTTCAAGCTGGGCATGTTCGGCGCGGAATACGCGTGGCTGGTGGCGGGCGCGCCGCCGCGAATACGGGGCGCAGCGCCCTGTGCGCGGGCGCAGCTTGCTCGCGCCTTAGAAGGGCTCGTCACTGTGACGGCGCATAGAGGGATTGTGGGCGATGGGACTAGCTTCTCCGGTTTGGTAAGAATACGATCATTCCTTAGAGCACTTGAAAGACTCATTTGATGGGTTCATTACAAAGAGCATCTGAGACCACGCGCCTTTGAGGGGCGTGTGAGTGTGACGACACATCGAGAGATGGTAGGCGACGGATCGTCATTATCTGGGCTGGTGAGCATTTTTTCACAGAAATCCACTTTCAATATGAAAAGAAAAAATATTAACGATGGTTACTCGCGTGGTTGAAGTACGCACGAAATAGGTCTCATCACTGTCACCGCACACCGCCGGATTATGGGCGATGGGACTTCCTTCTACAGTCTGGTAAGAATTATGTAATTTCTTACAGCATTCCAGTAAGCCAAATATGATATTAATTTATGGATTGATGAAAATGGGATCATCTCTACAAAGCAGAGCCGTCGTGAGACACCATAAACAAGCATCGTAAGCGACGGATAATAACATTGATGTTCTGCCTTCTACAAAGACTGCCCTTACTAAATGCGTCACCCCCATAATATTGGACCTCACAAACGAAGCGAATAAGAACATTACTTTGACAGAATCCCTACTGACATGTTGCCTCCGTTACAATCACGTAGGTAGGTACTCCACGCTAATCATACCTGGCCGACTATACTGGGTCCTCCAGCAACAAAGTAGGATCAAAATAGAAACAGCCTGGATAATGGGAATGTTGTGTACAGTTTAATTCATTTTTGGCAGTTGAAATCTTTGACAGAACTAAAATAGCTACTCAAACTCATATTAAGCAGAGTTGGATTCATATCCAAATGCACTGTCATTCTATTTTTAAATTATGTTTCACTTGGGAAAAAATTACTTGGGTACTCACTTGGGACTTGAATACAGGACCTTTCGTTGGCTGAACGACTGCTTTAACCGTTGTATAATGGAACCATTATACAGGATGTTTGGCAAAAAATTAAACAAAAACAAAAATATCAATTAAAAAAAAGTAGCTCACTTAGAGTCAAATGAGCGAACGTGTATTCTTAAAAAGAACCTTACCTATACACCCACGAAGTTTGTCTAACCTTCCGCCAAACACCCTGTATGTTGCTTACGTATCGTTATGTTTGAAACAACTGCGTTTAACATTAATATTTCATATTCAATTTAATTGCTAATGAGAGTTGATGGATCATTCATTATCACTATCCGAACATTTTAACTCAAAACCCCCAGCTTTAAACAAAAGGTTTAAAATTTAAATATCCTGAAAATCGTTCGCTTCACTCTCAATCCATTGTAGACCCAACAAAGTTGTCTAACCCTATTTGGGTAGTAATTGGTATTAATATTGGGCTAAAACAATGGCGGCCGGCTCCAAAGAAAAAGGTAGAAACAAGGTAAATTAATTAATGACAATGATTCAGCGCAAAACCGCACTCTGTGTAAATACGGAATGCTATAGATAGTTCTCCTGAGAAGTAAAAAACCGGTCAAGTGTGAGTCGGACTCATAGGTCGTGGACTCGTGTCCTCATTAATCTATGTCCTTCCACTGTCACCTAAGTAAGTGGGTATGTATCACTTAAATAACATAACGTTTATGGCCGTTTTCACCATCATTCTATAATTTTAAATGACACCTATAAAAACAAAATTCCTGATCTGTGTTACCATAGAGGTCACTTAAAATTTAGGGATTGATGGTGAAAACGGGCATCAGATCCTAAACAAAATCACAGGAAAAAAATTAAGTAAAAATATCGACCTTATCAAAATTTTGAGCGTTGTTTGACAACACGACCATCAAACATATCATCGACCACCACCTCGNTAAATTACTCCACCCGTCTGAGAGAATTGGCATACGGTTCGAGGAAATTACCTCCATATCCGAGCTTACTCAGGCGGGCGCCAATCACACCTGGCTTATATTCACGGACGGAAGTAAAATTGACGATCGAGTTGGAGCTGCCTTTGTCGTTAAGGATTCCGCTAACACTCAGCCATCAGTCATCAAGAAGCTCAAGCTTCATGACGACTGTTCGGTATTTCAAGCGGAAATGCTTGCCGTGCAAATGGCTTGTAAATATATCATCGACCACCACCTCACGGATGTACTCATCCTCTCCGACAGCAAGTCTGGCCTCACAGAGCTGCGAAACGGCAGTAGCTACAACTGGTTTGCCGTCAGTATACATAAACTGTTACACCAAGCCCGATCATCTGGCTATACCATCGAATTCGCGTGGATTAAGGCCCACGCTGGATTCGATGGCAACGAAGAAGCAGACTTGGCAGCTAAGGCTGCTGCAAGAATGCGCAGAACACCAGACTTCCAAAAAGTCCCCATCAGCCTCGTTAAACATCAAAACAGGCAAAAATGTAAAGAATCGGCCAAAACTTTGTATATGGACCCGAACACCTGCGTCCATACAAGATCCCTCCTGCCAACATACAACACCTTGCAGGAGTTTATAAAGATCGTCCGACCGGACTTTGCCACCACCCAGGTCTTAACCAACCACGGTTATCATAAGGAATACCTACATCGTTTCCATATCGTCGCAGATGACCGCTGTCCCTGCGATGACCAGACTCCACAAACTTGGAAACACCTCTTAACACAGTGCCCTAGATTTTCTTCAGCCCGATATAACCATGAAATGACATCCCGCCTGCTAAATATCAACCCATATAATCTACCAGACATAATTAGAAAAGAAGACACAGCAAAAAGCTTCAAAGCCTACATTACCCATATAGTCGATCACCTAAAAGAATTTAACCAAACTTAAGGAACTAACAAATTACAATCATCATAATTCACAAACTAAATCACTGCACTGCAATTGGAGTACTCCACTAGCTACCATTGCATGTGTATCTCAATAACACTCACTAACAAAAAAAAAAAACCCCAAGTTCGCTTAATATCGCATAACAATTGTATATTATTATCGCGGGGCTTGAAGGTTTTAGTTCCATAAAAACGATCTAAAGGTACCAATATAACGTAACGAAAATTCACGTTCGAAAATTCACTACCAGTCCATGACAAATATCCTCTATCTTTTATTCAAAAGTGTAATTCACTTACGGAAAATAAATATCGGCAATACCTAGAACACTGCCTTATAAATTCTTAATAGGGTTTGTATTGATCTAAAGTTTATTGATGTTCTTCCAATCCGTACCAGGATGTTTTGAAAAGTTGTATTTTTACAGGTACGACCCACACGGAATTTATTATTAACGATTTTTGACTTATTTTAAAGTTTTTAAATAACTTTTTGCTTTACTTAGGGTTTATTTCAAAAAACCTCTGCCTTAAGCATCACCTCCGTAGTCCATCGCTAGCTAAGAGTAATCGGATTCAAAAATCGGATTTGAAACTTTTGGGTTCGATTCCCAGGTGGAACAACACAAATCATAATGTAAAAAAAACTTTGTTTTTTTTTTCTTTTTTTATTTAGAACTTTGCAGGCTATTCCCACATCAAATCAAATGTTCTTTATTGCTTCATGTTGGTGCAACCTCAACCAGCCAACTTGATTATCCTAAAAAATCTTCAAGTCTTTCTAGGGCCCTTAATGGGCCACACCACGGTTGTGAATGATGTGATATTAGTTGTTAGGTAGTGCAACTACACGATAAGAAGATGACTGCCTAAAATATCAGAGCTGGTTGATTAATAGCGTCTAAGATTACCTATCTTTCCAGACCAACGAGATGTTCAGCCGAGAAATGGAGCACGCCGGAGTGTCAGTCTCCTCCTACGCCCCTCAAACATACGACGCTGTCTGGGCCATAGCCCTAGCCCTGAGCAAGGCTGAAAACCTCTGGCGGAACCAGGAGGAAGGCAACAGCACCAGGCGAGGCAAACTGGGACTCGGCCATTTTGATTACGACCGCAAAGACATGGCTGAAGAGTTCCTGAACCAGTTGGCCAATTTGAGTTTTTTAGGCGTGTCGGTAAGTAATCTTTTCAGATTTAGAGATATTACTTAAGAATATTGTGGAAATCCTTGGGGGAGGCCTTTGTCCAGTGGATGTCCATTTGGATAAAACACACGAACGATTATAGAAATTAATGGATATAAAAAACTACACGTNAATGTGATAACGCCTAAGTGTGTTATTATTAGAATTTTGAATTAGAGCAAATAAAAAAGGACTGTATTTCAATGAATGTTTAATGGCGACAAGCATAGATTAAAGAGCTACCACAGACATCTCTTTTTTTTTTCTTTTTTGCCAAAGATAATAATAGCATGAACAGTGAGTATAGGATCATATGATCACTTTCCGAACTCGCGCCCTCGTGGGGCTTGTAACGGTGACGGTGCATAGAGGCATCGTGGGCGATAGGACCTCATTCTCTGGGCTGGTAAGAACGACACCACTATTTACAACACTCGAGAGCGTCATCACCATGACGGCGCATACAGCATTCGAGTAGGTAAAATAGGATATTAGGACTGATGAAAATGGGATCATCTCTACAAAGTGGAGCCCTCGTAAGACACCATAAACAAGCATTTTATTTATTTATTTATTTAAACTTTTATGCCAAAATAAATTTGAACATAAGGCGAACTTAATGCACTAAAGCATTCTCGACCAGTTTACCTTTGGGTTGAGCAGAAAAGAAATTTGTTTGGCGGTACTTCTAGTGCAGGAAAGAAAAACAAAAACAAATATGCTACATACATAAATAATATATAAAATATATAATAAATAAATACATACATAAAATAGATGATTGAGTTAAACTGAAATTACAATTCATGAAGATGAGATCATTTTGAGGAAGTGATTATGGACAGATTTTTTAAAAGAAAACTTACTAGTCGCTTGCCTGGTCTCTTCAGGCAGAGAGTTCCAGAGCCTGAGCATCGTAAGCGACGGATAATAACATTGATGTTCTGCCTTCTACAAAGACTGCCCTTACTAAATTCGTCTCCCCCATAATATTGGACCTCACAAACGAAGCGAATAAGAACATTACTTTGTTAGACTCCCTACTGACGTGTTGCCCCCGTTAGAATCACATACTCCACGCCAATCATACCTGGCTGACTATACTGGGTCCTCCAACAACAAAGTAGGATCAAAATAGGAACAGCCTGGATAATGGGAATGTTGTGTACAGTTTAATTCATTTTTGGCAGTTGAAATCTTTGACAGAACTAAAATAGCTACTCAAACTCATATTAAGCAGAGTTGGATTCATATCCAAATGCACTGTCATTCTATTTTTAAATTATGTTTCACTTGGGAAAAAATTACTTGGGTACTCACTAGGGACTTGAATACAGGACCTTTCGTTGGCTGAACGACTGCTTTAACCGTTGTATAATGGAACCATTATACAGGGTGTTTGGCAAAAAATTAAACAAAAACAAAAATATCAATTAAAAAAAAGTAGCTCACTTAGAGTCAAATGAGCGAACGTGTATTCTTAAAATGACCTTACCTATACACCCACGAAGTTTGTCTAACCTTCCGCCAAACACCCTGTATGTTGCTTACGTATCGTTATGTTTGAAACAACTGCGTTTAACATTAATATTTCATATTCAATTTAATTGCTAATGAGAGTTGATGGATCATTCATTATCACTATCCGAACATTTTAACTCAAAACCCTAAGCTTTTAACAAAAGGCTTAAATTTAAATATCCTGAAAATCGTTCGCTTCACTCTCAATCCATTGTAGACCCAACAAAGTTGTCTAACCCTATTTGGGTAGTAATTGGTATTAATATTAGGCTAAAACAATGGCGGCGCTCCAGAGAAAAAGGCAGAACAAGGTAAATTAATTAATGACAATGATTCAGCGCAAAACCGCACTCTGTGTAAATACGGAATGCTTATAGTTGTTCTGTGGTTGTTCTCTGGAGTAAAAAACCAGTCAAGTTTGAGTCGGACTCATAGGTCATGGACTCATGTCCTCATTAATCTATTTCTTCCCACTGTCACTTAAGTAAGTGAGTACGTATCAGTTAAATAACATAACGTTTATGCCCGTTTTCACCATAATTCCGTATTTTTTAAGTGACACCTATGAAAACAAAATTCCTGTTCTGTGTTATCATAGAGGTCACTTAAAAATTAGGGATTGATGGTGAAAACGGGCAATAGATCTTAAATAAAATCACAGGATAAAAATTATTACTTATCAAAAATTTGAGCGTTGTTTGACAACACGACCATCAAACCCCAAGTTCGCTTAATACCGCAAACAATTGATTTATATTATTATATCGCGGGGCTTGAAAAGTTTTAGTTCCATAAAAACGATCGTGTAGGTACCAATATAACGTAACGAAATTTCACGTTCGAAAATTCACTCCCAGTCCATGACAAATATCCTCTATCTTTTATTCAAAAGTGTTACGGGAAATAAATATCGGCAATACCTAGAACACTGCCTTATAAATTCTTAATAGGGTTTGTATTGATCTAAAGTTTATTGATGTTCTTCCATTCCGTACCATGATGTTTTGATAAGTTATATTTTTATACGACCCACATGAAATCAATAACGATTTTTGACTCATTTAAATGTTTTTAGATTTAAAGCAGACTCCACTTTTGATATCATTTTGCTTTACTTACGGTTTATATTTCCAAAAACCTCTGCTTTGAGCATTATCTTCGTGGTGCAGCTAAGAAACAAATCGGCCTCGATTTGAAACTTTTGGGTTCAATTCCCAGGTGAGACAACACATCATAATGTAAAAAAAACTTTAACTTTGAACTTTTTCTGATTTTTTGTCCATTTTTTTAGGAGTTTGCAGGTTGTTACTAAATCAAATCAAATGTTCTTTATTTCTTCGTCTTGGTGCAAACCTAACCAGTCAACCAGATTGTCAGAAAAAAAGTCATGAACTCTTTGTTATGACCCTCTAAGGGCCAGGGTTGTGATCTCAGTTATTACTCCCTCACCTAGAAGATAACTACTAAAAGTTAATGACCGATCTGTATCTGTATGATCAATAGCGTCTAAGGCCCAGAACAGACGGTGAAACGCAACTGCAACGAAACTGCAACTGCTAGTTACTTTTGAGTTGCATCTAAGTTTCTGCTATAGCGTCCGTTGAGAGACCACACATGACGCGACCAGTTTGAAACTTTCAGTTTCATTCATCAGAATCATCAGAAAGTTGCAGTTTCGTTGCAGTTGCGTTTCACCGTCTGTTCTGGGCCTAAGAATACCTATTTTTCCAGACCAACGAGATGTTCAGCCGAGAAATGGAGCACGCCGGAGTGTCAGTCTCCTCCTACGCCCCTCAAACATACGACGCTGTCTGGGCCATAGCCCTAGCCCTGAGCAAGGCTGAAAACCTCTGGAGAAACCAGGAGGAAGGGAACAGCACCAGGCGAGGCAAACTGGGACTCGGCCATTTTGATTACGACCGCAAAGACATGGCTGAGGAGTTCCTGAACCAGTTGGCCAATTTAAGTTTTTTAGGCGTGTCGGTAAGTAATCTTTTCAGATTTAGAGATATTACTTAAGAATATTGTGGAAATCCTTGAGGGAGGCCTTTGTCCAGTGGATGTCCATTTGGATAAAACACACGAACGATTATAGAAATTAATGGATATAAAAAACTACACGTGCTACTTGTAAACTAAAGCTGATATTCTAATTAACTCGTATTATTTGTCTTCCTCTTCATTAGTCAATTTAGCAGATCTGCTAATTTTAGCGCTACAAATTGGCTTTATACGCAATCCAAATCTGGAAATGTATAATTCTACGGATAGATTAATGTTCGAATCACACTAGCTTTACATTAAAATCACCTGGACAAAATTGATAGTCCTCGCTGACAAAAACCCTGTCGCTTAATGAAAAGCCGCTGGAAACATTTTAATATGCAGTTAAAGTCCAATGGTGAATTACAGAGCAATTGAATACGAAATACCTATCAGCGCCGTGGAATTGCAAATGTTCAGTAAATTGAACTCTATCCGAAAGAGGATGTAAGTCATTTTGCAACTAACTTGTCAACTCATAGGTAGATTTCAAGCTGATTTTATGCAAAACGTTGGAAAAGGCTCTAATCTTATTTCAACTAGTGATTACACTCGTGTCATGGCGCCCAATCACGACATCCAATTTTTATGTACAAAATCCGAGTTCAATTCGTTTAGCAAATGAGTTTACTCTCGTGAAAAGTTCAGGTGATTTTACTGAAAACTGTGATTTATGTACGAAGCTTTTTTCAGGGTCCAGTGTCGTTCAATGGAGCTGACAGAATTGGAACTTCTGCATTCTACCAAATTCAAGGTAAATAAGCCTAAACTAGGTTTTAATATCGGTTGTTTACTTGAGACTTTTCACATTACTTAGTACGAGCAATAAAGCTGGTGCTTTATTTTTATCCTGTCTTTGTAGCTAATCTCCTACTTACGAAAAATTTCTCATTATAATACCTCTAGAAAAGAAACCGACAATACAATACAGAGATACAGCCTTAAGTCCTACATCCCTTGTTTTGAGACGGATTTAGTAATACGAATCGGATTAGCATTTTAATAAGAATCCTCGTTTTATGCATCTTTTTTGTGTACCAGAGCTTGGTAATACGGCTGTCAGAGACATTTTTTGATGAAACCACCATTTTGGAATGCCTCATAATTAAAATCGAAGCTTGCTGTTTTACTTACAATTGAGGTGAATGCAGTAATCTGGTTATTTTAATCAAATCAAATCAAAAATATTTTATTCAATTTTGACTAGTATTTTGGCACTTATGAAGCCATTCATAAAAATGGTACAATTTTGTCTTTAAATTTACAATAGGTGCTCAATGCCTCAGTCTATCTAGGTAGGTACAGTCGGCAGCATATAAGACATTAAAAGTAAACTTTTATTGCAAAAGAACATCTAGATATTTTGACAATCACATAAAATGATGCCAGCCACTTATGAGAATGGTGTATGGCGCCGTAGAGAAAGGACCATAGAACATCGTTTAATGAAAACTTGGGTATTTATACGTCTTCTTTATTGAAATAAGGGACGTGAATGAAACGATCACAAATTCGAATCTACATTAATAATATTAGTTAAAGATAACAACATTGTCTAGAGACGCTGATCACCATTAATAAAAAGATTACTGTATTTCCCTCAATTAGGTATGTATTTTATTAACCTTTCGCGAGTGCTCCGTATAATAATGAGGATTGGTTTCTCGGAGCGCCGGGTAAATTCGTCTGGACTAATTTGGCTTAGTGTATTTGCCAAGCCGAGCGATCATCTCAAATTCTCATCATTTTTTTAATGAACGCTCGCAATAATACGATTATTTTCGTTCGGCGCCATGTGGGCGGGCAATATGTAATTTTCTTTCTTTAGTATTTTTCCATCGTCATCGTTCGACATCGTAAAGGTAGCAGGAAGGCGCTGGGCGCAGGCCGCTACCAACCGGGCAACATGGAAAGCGTTGCGGGAGGCCTATGTTCAGCAGTGGACGTCCTATGGCCGAGATGATGATGATGATGATGATAATAATTTTTCCTGCTGTGTTGATTCCGAATTTAAGTTTTTATAGAAATTAAAAGCCAAAGCTAGGCACGAGATCATCATAGTAGTATAGTCAGCGTCAAATAGTTCGTGACACCCAGAGTAACCAAAAAACTCGCAACACGTCTTTTTTACAATTGGAATATGGTTGTGTGCCTAGTCAACTTTTTGGCTACTTTGGGTGTCACGAACGATTTGACGACGAACTATTTGACGCTGACTGTACGAGTAGGTATTAGGTGCTATTTTGGCACTTCCCTATAAATTGACCGCTATTTGTGTGTCAAAGACTTCGAACTTGCTGGTACCCATGTAGCTGGTACTAAAACTCTAACACCAGTGATTAAGATATTGTTTATGATCTGGCAAAACGCCGCTTCTCTTTAGCCTAGGCTTCTCTTTAGATAGTTGGGTCGGGTTGTTCATCAGTGTGGGCACGTAGTATGAAAGTGCGCACATTACACCGATTTGGTAACGGTCGATTCTTCATACAAATTAGAATCGGGCCCAACTATCGGCTAACTTAAAGTCGGTGGTCTGCGCCTAGGCTTAGTTGGTAAGAAAAAACCAAGTTGACGTCACTTATATTAGATCAGTGGTTCTTAACCGGTGGTCCGCGGACCACTGGTGGTCCCTGGAGGTATTCCAAGTGGTCCACGAAGACATAAATAAGTGACGTGACGTGATGAGTAGAGTCAACACAACGCAAATGGCGCACAGTGGGCGAGAAATCGACCTCCCCTTGCATAGGATTTTGAAAAAAAAGTGGTCCCTCAAAAGACAGAAATTTGGTAAAATGGTCCCTCGTGACTTAAAGGTTAAGAAACACTGGATTAGATTGTAGATTCTACAAAATTGTCAATGTGTTCCTCTTTTCAGGAGGCCGTCCAAAAACAGTAGCCCTCTACACCAACGGCCGAGAGCTAACCTGCAGTGACTGTGCACGACCGCAATGGGCCGGTGGCATCCCCGCGGCCAAAAGGGTCCTGGTTCTCAGAGTCGACTCCGTGTGGGCACCGGNCTAGACAATTTTATTTTTCCATCGTCATCTTTCGACATCGTAAAGGTAGCAGAAAGGCGCTGGACGCAGGCCGCTACTAACGGGCAACATGGAAAGCATTGGGGGAGGCCAATATTCAGCAGTGGACGTCCTATAAATAAAATGATGATGAGACTTTTTCCTGCTTTGTTGATTCAGAATTTAAGTTTTTATAGAAAGTACAAGCCAAAGCTATGCAATTAAAAATAAATCATCGTAGATCTTAGGTACTGTATTGGCACTTCCCTATAAATTGACCACTCCTTCATCGCTATCTGTGTGTCCAAGACTTCGAACTTGCTGGTACTGCTGGTACCACCATTAACCTATGAGCTTAGGTACTAGACAATGTTGCTGGAACTAAAACTCTTCATTTTAAAGGAGATTGGACATCACCAGTCATTAAGATCTGTTTATGATCTGGCAAAAGGCTGCTTCTCTTTAGTTTGTAAGAAAAACTCACGTTGATGTCACTTGTAGAATCTACAAAATTGTCAACGAGTTCCTCTTTTCAGGAGGCCGACCAAAAACAGTAGCTCTCTACACCAACGGCCGAGAGCTAACCTGCAGTGACTGTGCACGACCGCAATGGGCCGGTGGCATCCCCGCGGCCAAAAGGGTCCTGGTTCTCAGAGTCGACTCCGTGTGGGCGCCAGNGGCACCGGCGAGATTGGCAGTGGCCACACTGGCGGCTGCTGGCGTGGCTTTGGCACTGGCGTTTTTAGTCTTCAATTTACATTATAGCAAGCGAAGGTAAGTAATTAGTATCAGTTCTGGTTTAACGAAATGATAAATAACGAAACAAATCGATAGCGATTGTTTACACTCAACTTTTTTACGTAACTACAGGATGTTTAGTGTAAGCTATCAAGCCGAAGGCAAGTGATAGGTGAGGACCAGACCTATCGATTTCACCCCCATTTATGTTCTACGATTTAGAAGTTATCGTTAATTTTGTAGCTTTTTAAAAATTCATGACCTAGTAGTCTAATGTTATCTTTTTTGGGGTTGACTTTTCTCTACCTCACCTATCACCTATCGGCTTGACACCTTACACGAAATATCCTGTATAATATTGTTATTTAATTATGTGTAGGATTGTTGTAGTAAACGCACAAGTAAAAACTGTAGAGAAAGTATTTTAACTGAAAGCCTCGGCTAAGTTCTTTGCCTATTTTCTTTACTGTCTTTTGTTTGTTTAGGACAATTTTCTCTTGTCCCAATTTTAGTCAGCTAAAACTCTGATTATTTTTCTCCTTTATTAAGGGGATATTTCTCGTCTTCCCACTATTACGAAAACACTATTATATTACCTTTATCATCTAAAATTAGTCTCATTATCTCAGATCTGGTTGGATGATGCGGATTGATGCGGGCTCCACTATAATCCGCTTTTGTACCAAAATTCCCGGTTAAAAGTAAGATTATTATTACAGTATACTAAAATTGAGAAAAATAAAGCGAGCCACAAAGGGATCTGGGCAAGGCTTTGAATAAGCAACATTATCTGATATTGTTATAAGATATGACAAGGGTTACGCACAATGGACTCAAATAGCGCAGGTTTGGAGAACGAAAGAAGTAATTTATTAAAGTTGGAATAAGTAGGTACCTAAGTAACAGTAACTTAAACAGGAAAAATAACGGCAACAGAAGGTAGATTTCTATAACTATCAGTTATGAAAGTTTGAATGTAGTTAATACCTAGGTAGGTAATTTGTTGCACCAGCTGTGAAAAAAATTGGTGCAAAAAGAATAAACCTACTCTATCTTCTTCAACTATAGTTTAGGAGAGTAAGATAACAAACATTTTTGCTAGATTTGCTAAAATGTAGATTTCGTAAATTGGTACACCCCTTGCGCGAAGGACTAAGGCCCTCCAAATAACTGGAACTTGCTAGATGGAAAAAGCGACTAGAGACAAAACTGAAGACAAAATATGTCTAGCAGTGAAGTGATGTGGCCCGGTCTCTGAATTGAGATTTTTAGCTTGAGTATGTCCATCTTCTACGCAGGTGTAGGTCACGCAGCAAGAGTTGAAGCGATCAACACAAGAAAAGTTTTATATCTTATTTGTCCCCTTGTCGCGCTGATGACGTCTTGCGTATTCTGACTAATTTGTTTCTTCTGTAGGTATTCAAATATTACATCAGCGTGAGTATGTGTTCGCCTCAACTTTTGTAGCGTGACCTATATGAACTTTCATATTCAAGAACTGTATAGGATAGACTGTAAAAATATATTTTCTATCAGGTCCATAAAGCTGTCTTCGCCTCGCCTGAACAACATGACCCTGATCGGCTGTGTGCTGGTGTACACTGCTGTGGCCCTGCTGGGACTCGACAACGCTACCCTGCCTTCATACGTGCCCTTCTCTGCTATGTGCACTGTGAGTAAACTTAGTTTGTAACAATGTTTTTCTTTATTGTACCCTAATGCCAAAAAACGCGCAATCATGGCTAAGGTTTGTCACAAAAGTTCAAGTGGAATAGGGGATGAAACTTAGTCAATCAGTCCACAGTCCAGTCATACAGATACAATACCTACATATGACTCTATAGGGGTCATCCATAAAGTACGTCACACGTAAAGAGGGGGGGAGGGGGTTGACAAAGTGTGACATGGTGTGACAAGGGGTGGGAGGGGTCCTAAGTTTCGTGACATCACATTTCAATTGTTTCAAATATTTGATATAATGTTGATTTCATAAAAAAAGTACTTAATTTAAATGGAAATAAAACTAATTGCTGTTAANTTGGATGATGCGGGCTCCACTATAATCCGCTTTTGTACCAAAATTCCCGGTTAAAAGTAAGATCATTATTACAGTATACTAAAATTGAGAAAAATAAAGCGAGCCACAAAGGGATCTGGGCAAGGCTTTGAATAAGCAACATTATCTGATATTGTTATAAGATATGACAAGGGTTACGCATAATGGACTCAAATGCCGCAGGTTTGGAGAAAGAATAAGTAATTTATTAATTAGAATATTATAGCTAAACTAGAACAAAGACAATAACGCCCGTATTCACAAACATTACCTATGAGGTCTCCCAGTGCGGGTGGACGTACAGGGTGACACACGAACCTGATTCACTTAAGCAAGCATCGTTTGTGAATACTGGCAAACACAAAAACACAAAAAATAACGGTATAGAAGGTAGATTTCTGTAACTCTTACTAACTGCGACAAATAAAAAAATAAGCCATGGTGCAAAAAGAATAAACCTACTCTATCTTCTTCAACTATAGTTTTGTGGAGTAAGAAAGCAAAATTTTTTCGCTAAATTTGCTAAAATGTAGGTTTCGTAAATTGGTACAGCCCTTGCTCGATGGACTGAGGCCCTCCAGATAACTGGATTTTGTTAGATCACAAAACAGCAATTACAAAGCAAAAAAAAAACAAAGTCTAGCACTGACAGTCTTTGAGCTTGGTCCACGGGTCAAGTTAAAAGTTGCATAAAGAAGAAATAGCTATTAAAAATTCAATCTGACGACTTGGCCCGGGGACAAAGCTAAATGTGGGCCAAGTCCCTGGAAGACTCCACTGACATAGACTTTTTTTAAAGTCCCGTACTCCCGTTAGCCCCTCATGGTAAGCTAAATATGCTTGTGTTACGAGTGGTCTCATCACAATAGTCTAGCGGTGGTGGGATTCGAACCCGCGTTCCTCGGATCTCGATTAAACAATGATATTTTTTTCTATCAGGTCCATAAAGCTGTCTTCGCCTCGCCTGAACAACATGACCCTGATCGGCTGTGTGCTGGTGTACACTGCTGTGGCCCTACTGGGACTCGACAACGCTACCCTGCCTTCATACGTGCCCTTCTCTGCTATGTGCACTGTGAGTAAACTTTGTTATTTTAATATAATCTAATGTTAAAATCGCGCAATCCTGGCTGAACCTGAGAAGGCCTTAAATTTAGCCTCCTAAAAAAGCAGGCTACCGTGTTACAAAAAAATAATTGTGCTGGAATAGGGGATAAAACCTATTGTGTAGGTGTTATGTTATGAAACTTAGTCAATCGGTCCAACAATCCATTCATGAATCATACAGATGACTCTATGCTGTCTTAATAGCATAGGTCAATGCAGATTTTTTAACAAAAAAAAGAAGTTTCGGATCTTTTTTTTTTAATAATGATTTTTTTTTAAATGTTCGTGTGTCAAGTCTCCAGTAACATCGGTTACAAAGTTACGATCCACGTCGTATCAAAAAGCTCTTGAAAGAGCATTAAAATGAGTAGGTACGGAACATATTTTACGGTGGAAAGTTTATGGGAATCGAAATAAGAAAACTAACGAGGTCTTTCAACAAAGTACCCACTAAAGTTCACCACAAGTTAGTTGCAAACTCGCACTTATTACAAGAGACTTAGATGCCAGTGTTTATTTTGTGCTTCTGCCCACGACTTCGTCACTAGCTTTGCCCGCGACTTCGTCCGCGTGGAATAGTCACTTATTGTGATCACATTATAGCTTATAGCCTTTCTCGATAAATGGGCTATCTAAAACACTAAAAGATTTTTTTCAAATCGGACCAGTAGTTCCTGAGATTAGCGTGTTCAAACAACACTATACATATAAGATAGACACTAGAGTGCACGCGCGGCCTGCTAGAGTAGACCAGGGTAACATTTTACGCTATAACTTTTTAAAAACTCGCGCCAGAGAGCTGGCATTCCAGGAAAGCCTCGTTTTCTAAATTGTCAATAAGCCAGTAAAGCTTGGGTCGCTAGCGTCTGCGCACTTTTCTAAAATTGGCCATCAAAACTGCGGGTCTACTCAAAAGCCCGAAATCACTCAGCAAAAAAAATATGGAAACCTTGCAAAAAATGGGTTTACCCCGTGTTCCAGGCAGTAGAAACTGTTAAATACTATGACAGATTAAAAACAAATCATATTTTTTCAGTAATTTTGTTTTTGCTAATATGGATCTCAGAGTGCAATTTTGGTCCAAAAATTGACAAATTTTTAATCTGTTTATAATGTTTTATCCCAAATAGTTATATAAAGAAATTTTGATTATAAAAGAACTTTGATAAACACTTTTATCATTTACATAGTAATTTTATTCATAAATTGCTTACAAACTCATTTACAGTGATTTTAAATTGGCTTACCAGAGTAGGCCACGCGTGTATTGGTGTAAAAAAAGGGGCGCGTGTACTGTAGTGTTAAGTAGGTAAGATAGATGAATACGAGTACATTTTAATCCAAAATGTGTTAAAATTTCACAGACTTAGTTACCCGGTTATTTTCTAGGATCTAGTTTTTTATTCCGTCTGATGTGGACACACGGAATGTAGAATGAGCTAGCTTTAACTTAAGCTAACTCGCTCAAATAACTACGGACAGTCGGCTTCATTAAATTGAATTTTATTTTAAAGCAGAGTTTAGCTAAGTTTTGTGGAACAGCTTTCTCCTCCTGCCTCGTCCTCCCGCCAAAATATGTCAAAGTCAAACCCTTAGGCTGGGTTGCACCATCTTACTTTAACTTTGACAAACGTCAAAAATCTGTCAAATTCCATACAAAAAGCACCGGTTATCGTCATAGTTGCCGTTAAAGATAGGTGGTGCAACCCACCCCTACGATTCCAAATGACAATGACATTGGGTTTGCTTACATTTGGTATCGCTTCTCGTTGGCCGTACTTTACCTAACTACTTACTCTCCAGATGGAGGAAATGAAACCATAAATAAATAAATTTGTATTAGGGCTTGTTCCCTCGAAGACATCCCGTTTTTTGAAGGATCCCGTTTATTATACGTGTTTTAATAGCTTCTCGTGTGCAGTGTCCCGCAAAAAAGCGATTAATGTGAATCAAGTAATTAGAATTTCAAACAAACATACAATGTGTGTTCACCAAAAATTCTTGCCCTTCCCACGTTCAAGAACGGTCGTAAACCTAAATTAAGAATCGCCTTCCTCATAAAACTTTCGTTCTTATAAGATTTGCTTTTGCGACAATGGGAAATAGGCTGATAGGATATACTTATTTCCTTTTAAGGGACATAAAATAAACTCGTAAATATTGTTTGCAATTAAGTAGCTTTAAAAAGCGCTTTTAAAATATTTAACTTAAAATACATATATCAGAACAGATCACAAAAGGAACGAGTGGATCAGAGAAAATATGGGGGTCAGCGACGTGGTGGAAGACATTGAGAGCCGTAAATGGAGATGGGCAGGGCACATTGCACAGATGAACCAGGATCGCTGGGCCAGAAAGACCCTGGAGGCCTATCTTCGAAGGCGAATAGTCATAGTCATAGTCATCCCCTAAAGGCTGCTATAGATAGATAGATAGATATCAGTATGTCTACCATGAGTTTACGTTAGGTGTGCTCGCTAGCGAAAACGTCAAAAATTTCTATGGAGATTTTGTTTCTTGAAAGTAGCCGCTAGGGGCGCTGCACAATATGTCATACAATTAATGTCATTTTTTTACGCAGTCGCTAGCGAGCACACGTAACGTAAACTCATGGTAAGCACACTGAACTCCATAGTATAAATACTGGTTTAGCCGTTGATGATAACAAACATAATTATGGCATTGATTTTATATTGAACACCCTAAACCAGTGTTTTTCAACCTGTGAGTCGCGCCCCCCTTGGGGGTCGCGTAGCCTCTATAGGGGGGTCGCGAGAAGTCGTAAAAACTACCTCAGTAAAAAAGCCAGAGAAGTTTAAAAGCTAGATTTATCCGAAATCTAATTATGCAAATACATATATGTTGTATAGATTGAAGAATTCGGTCCCTACAACATCTTTGTAAAAGGCATGAAAAAAAAGTGAACGGTCGGGGGGTCGCAAAAATTTTTTTTATGCTAGGGGGTTCGCGTCATGAAAAAGGTTGAAAAACACTGCCCTAAACTAATAAGGTTAATGAAAATTTTACTTTTTTCTAGGGCAGAGTGTACATCTTGTCAGCGGGTTTCTCGCTCGCTTTTGGATCTATGTTTGCGAAGACGTACCGAGTTCATAGAATTTTCATCAGGTAAGATGTGTTATAGTAGTAATTAATAATAGGTATTAAATGTATAAAGAAAAATGTAACTAATAAAATTTCAATTAGATTTATGTGACAAAAACATGAAAATGGGAGCCAAGTACAAAATTAAGAGCGCTTTCACACATGGGCATTTTTGTCGCAGCTGCAGCGCTACATAAATACGTATGGATACGAGTCGCGCTACTGCAGCGCGACTTAGAAGCGCTACAGTCGCGCGACAAAAACGCCTATACATGAAAGCGCTCTAAGAATATTTGGCTTATCTTTTTTTGCTTATTCCAGCAACCGCAGCGGAGTGTGCAAGACTAAGCTCCTTCAAGACACACCGCTAATATCCCTGGTCTGCGCGCTACTAGTCATCGATGGCATGATCGTGACCCTATGGGCCATGCTGGACCCCATGGAGCGGCACCTCAAGAACCTCACCATAGAGATCAGCGCCACGGATAGGAGCGTCGTTTACCAGCCACAGGTCATTATAATTATAAATAATACCTCTACGTAAACCAAACGACGTGCCAAGGCCAAGGGAAATGCGTTATGGGGTCACACGCTATTTAGGTCGAGATTCAATATACCAATCAAGAACCAACTTTTCTGTAAGCATAGTGTGTCTCCAATCCTGGACATCTTTCCAAAAAGCCTACTGCCAATATCGTTCAAGGCCAACGTCTGTGTGATTTTCACCCCCTACCATGTTAACGGATGTGGAATGAAGATGAGCTGGCCACGTTTATCGAAAACAACCAGAAAAGTCATCAATTTAGACAACAAAACAAGGCACCTGAATTTTCTGAAAAAATAACCAAAGTATCTTTTGTCTTTCAGATAGAAATCTGCAAGTCCCAAAACACTACCGGCTGGCTTTGCGCTCTATACGCCTACAAGGGTCTACTCCTCATAGTCGGGGTCTACATGGCATGGGAGACCAGGAACGTCAAGATATCTGCTCTAAACGACTCCAAGTACATTGGCATCAGCGTTTACTCTGTGGTCATCACCAGTACAAGCGTCGTGGTCATTGGAACGATCATATCAGAGAGGGCTACGTTAGCGTACATCACAATTACAAGCTTGATTCTGATCACGACGACTTCCACGCTATGTTTGCTGTTCTTGCCTAAAATTATTGCTATTAGGACTAAAAGTGAGTACCTAACTACTTCCCTTAGTTATAAACTACCTACTACAACCCGATAGTTATTTACTGCGCACCTGGCAGCCGTGACGTAGCATCGACTCACTGGTACGGACGGGGCGAATGCGGGGACATGTGCGGGTGAGTGTGAGGATGGTTGGCATTCCACCTAGGTGCGCAGTTAGCTCATTCGGGTTGTAAACTTAAATTGCAGTGCTGCCACTTGGATATGCCCAGATGGGACTTAGACACATCCCAACTAATATTATAAATGCGAAAGTAACTCTGTCTGTCTGTCTGTCTGTCTGTTACGCTTTCACGCTTAAACCTCGCAACCGATTTTGATGAAATTTGGCATAGAGATAGTTTGAGTCCCGGGAAAGAACATAGGATAGTTTTTATCCCGGTTTTTGAAACAGGGACGCGCGCGATAAAGTTTTTCTGTGACAGACAAAATTCCACGCGGGCGAAGCCGCGGGCGGAAAGCTAGTACAAAATAATTGTATTATTCTTCCCAGTTTCTTCTTTTGTTTCCAAACTTATTGTTTGAAAGTAAACTGGTGTCGTGCTTCGGAATCGGAAGACATGTTAAGTTGAGGATATTAACTATCCTATCCTGTTGAGCTATGACTTAAACCTCAGATCATAGAAAGAGAATAGATATGAAGTCGCGCGTAACTACAACGAGAACCAGTGTCCCCACATTTCCCCCACCACAGCTCCCACACACACATTCAACTGTGTAAAAACAAAGCGACTGAGAGTCTACGACAACATGTGCAACCGGTCTAAAAGTGCTGTGATTGGCCAGAAGGCGTGCCTTATGGCCAATCAATGGCCGCGTGACGTGACGCACACTTTGAAAAAAGCAATTAGAGATTAGAAAGATAAAATGGAGTCGATAATCTTATCGACTCCATTTTCCTTGCCCCTAGCGATTTAAAGTATCGATAGATATCGATACTGGCTCGAAACTGGTTTCACAAAATGCTTATGTATGAAAACCTTTTTATTATTATACGTTATTATTAACTACTATCACGCATTTACTTTTTAATTATGGCGATCTGCGTACCGCATTATGTTTATCAAAAATAATGCCTATATTAGGCTTTCAATTAGCTCTTATAGTAATTANTCATAACCATGCGAGTAAACATAATTAATTATACATAACAAATAATTATACACGTCGGCGCAGAGACGTTGATATTAAGAATATTCTTAATCGCATCCGTCGACACGAGTAGGTACATTCTGAGATTACCCACTTGTTAAAAAAAAAATGTGTTCCTAGATGGTGGACTTAGACACAGAATAAGTAATAGTACAGGTACAGAAGGATTACTCCGCAAGACGATTTAAATAAATGCGAGTCTTGCTGCGACGCGATACAGTGAAATTCAGCTCGCACAGCACTACGTACCTACAATTTTATTCACCTACAAGTTTTGTCTCTTTCTATCGCGTGCCTCTGAACTCTTCTTACGCTGTTAGGGTTGCTGTCTAGTGAAAAAATAATTAATCTACTTATTTGTACGTATGTAGGTAAGTATGCATTCATTATGGAAAACCTTGGGAGAGGCCTTTGTCCAGCAGTGGACGTCATTTGGCTGAAACGTACGAACGCATTCTGAGCAGTAGTCATAGTAGGTTAGGTTCCTATACTATCCTAAGAATTATTGATTACCTATATGGCCAACATACCTTTCAGCATCTTTGGGAAGCGAAAAAAAAAGATAAATCCGGTAGATTTCTTTTCGAATTTAAACACCCAAACGCCGCACAATAATATTTCTTTCTCTCTTATGTCTATTTTTAAATAATACTTCGATCATAGAATTAGTACTACAACGCACGCCAGCGTCCTGACGGGCGCGCGCGTGACACTCGACTGTTATAATACCCGCCGGCGGGGCGCTTCGCTGTAGGTAATTATCGGATGTACCGCGCGGAGTGAGCCAGGCCTGCCGTGACGTAGCATCGACTCACTGGTACGGATGGGGCGAATGCGGGGACATGTGCGGGTGAGTGCGAGAAAGATTGGCATTCCAGCGAGGTGCGCAGTTAGCTCAATCGGGTTGTAAACTTAAATTGCAGTAATGCTACTTGGAATAGGACTTAAACACATACAATAAAATTGTTTCATTCTTCCCAGTTTTTTCTTTTGTTTCCAAACTTATTGTTTGAAAGTAAAATGGTTTCGTGCTTCGGAAGACATGTTGAGCATAGTTGAGCTATGACTTAAACCTATGGGGCTCATGAAGTCTAACACCAGGGTTCTGACCTCGGCTGTTATAATGAACTTGATTGTTTTAACCGCCTCTGTGGTCTAGTGGTAAGACCACCTGCTTCAGACGCAGAGGTCCCGGGTTCGATTCCCAGTGGGGACAGGTTTTTCTGTTCGGTTTGGTTGGTGGTAGGGCTTGTTCTAAGTCCGTCTGGCTAGCTACCACCATCTTACCTAAGTCTGTCGCCATAACAACAATGTTAACAGCATTATTGTGTTCCGGCAGTAAGAGGTAAGATAGCCAGTTCCTCCGTGGTTGAGGATTCCGGGTGAAGCTCGCTTCCACCTTCGGCCTGATCGTCACTTACCATCAGGTGAGATACAGGCCAAGAGCTTCCTCGTTGTGGATAAAAAAAAGAACAACATTTAGCTAAGATAAATTAACTTATGCGCGAAAAAGTATTGGATTACTTTTTAACCCATTATCTCAAATGTTCCAGGTGAAGACGACCCCGTTATCCAAAGTTTAGGCCTGAGACTAGAATGTAAGACTAGAAGATTCGTGACAGACGAAACACAAGAGCTACACTTTAGGATAGAAATACAGAACAAAGTTTACAAGCGGGAGGTGGCTGCCCTCGACAAGGAGATTGGAAGACTGGAGAGGCTTTTAGCAGAACCACTCGAGTCTACCAGCAGTTCCAGTGCTTCAATCGCTCTGCACAAACGAGTAAGTAGTAGAGTTGTTTTAAGTACTGTTATAAAGTTATTTTTCGTTTTATAAATCATGCAAACGTACCGGTGTTCTTACGAGATCGAATCAGAAATGAGATCCGTAAACGAACTAAAGCGCTGATATAACCCGACGGATTAGCAAGCTACGCAGCAGAACCATGTTTACGTACCTACTTAGGAGCACTAAACTTATGGTTAGGCATCTTGTAACACTCACTATCACTATCACACGTTTACACACCAATACTTGAGAACGCACGAGAAAACAATAAAAATCGCGCAATTTGAATAGCACATTTGATAACCGACGAAACCGAACCGGAGCGCGGAGCGGCGCGCGCGTCACTGGCGCGTGGCGGCAGAGATGAAAGAATGACACCGCCGCCGGCCGACGCGGCGAGACTGACCAATCGCAATCAAGTAATACGCGCCTACCTACCGAACATCGTGCATATCGATAGCGCTTTATTATTATTCCTTATTTTCAACTACTATTTTACGTATTTTTAACATTTTTAGTACAAGCAAATCTATCAACGAGTGATATTATAACGAATTGAAATTGATATTGTAAAAAACTTTGAAAAAATATTGTGACTGACCTTCAATATTCTCCATAACCATAAGTTTCCCAGGTATAGTAACGTAGCAAAATATGATCCTCACCATAATGGAGAATATGTTGCCTTCGGCTTCGGGATAGGGCTTTTTACACCCATTATATGAGCAGATTTGTGGTATAGTTAACTGTACAGTACAGCTTTATTAATTTGTATTCTTGTTTTTTTTGCAGACGGAACTAAACACTGTAGAAGAAGAAGGCAGATGCCGGTCAGATCCAGACAGGAGAACGCCCAGTGTGAGCGGAGGTCTACCCATGCTTCTCCTCTCAGTTCTACCCCCTGTCATACCCCGAGCGAGCTGGCCTTCCGCCGAAGCCTGCCGCGGCCGAAACTCCGTCAGCTTCAGCTCGCAACCAAAACTATACCACAGGAAGTCTCAACCAGCTATCGACCTATACAATCTGTGCCTAAACAAGCGAGAAGAACACACAGGTCTTCTCAGCAGACTGAAAAGCTTCTTCGGCAGTAGACCGAGCAGCAGAAAAGCATCTACTATGTCCATAGCTGATCCAACTGGACAAAGCATAGCAGCTGCTCTGAAGATGCACGTGGGAATGATAGCTGGTCTCATGCCAGGGAACAGAAAACACTCCATGGTTTTATCATGCAACACGCTGCATGTTCCCCACCCTGAGTTGAGATTACGTAGGGAATCTTACGCAAAGAGCGGACCCATCATAAGGATAACAGACGACGAACCGTCATGCTCATATCAGCCGGGAGAGGCTCGAAAAAGCATATCATCTACAACCAATAAATACGTGGCAGAGCCAGAGACAAAAGTGAACTTCGTGTTGCCAACTACCCACAAAAGGCCGATGTCACATCAAAACTCTTGCGAGAGATTCAAGGGTTCTCCGAGATTCCCTCACAGGATTTCTCCAACAGCTACCAGTTTGACTACCCTCGACACTAGAAGAAAAACCAGTGCTGACAGTGTGTTCAATATATCAGGGAGGATATGCGACGAGCAGCGGCGGTACAGTCACCAGAATATGACAGTCAACCAAGAGGCTAAGGATAAGTCGGTTCTGGAGAGTAAGTGGAAGTCTACAGAAGACGCCAGACCTGGACCTTCGTCTGAGAATTAGTTTTAATTTGGTCTTAATAAGCAATTTCAACTGCCATTGATTGTTATCTTTTTTAACATTCGTGTGTGGATTATTACGAATCTTAAAACAGGAAGGCTGTGTATATTTAATTTCTGAAAAGACTTGTTTTGTTTCCATTATCTTTTTTGTGGAGCTTTTTCGATATATTAGTGTGTCAACAGCCCTCTTTATGTGGGCACTTGCATATCGTCGGCGTCGTCGAACAACGACGTATCTGCAAAATGTTAAGTTTCCAGGAGAGCGTTTTGAAGTTTTGGAACCGGTTTTTTGTGTCTACAAAAAAAACTACTTGGCTGATCGGTTTCAAATTTGGGGATGTTTTAAACATAAAGTTGTTATTTTATATTAACTATGTGTCCATCTCCAAAAATACTTAGTTTTTTGTAAAAATCACATGCGTCAGTGTTTTATGGACAATTTGCGGATGTATGTGATAAACCGTCGTTGTTCTGCGATTTTTCTTAATCAAATATATGACGTATGTCACTTTTAGTCATTATTCTACGGAACTTCTGCCATGAGTACCCGTCGGATGATGATGAAAGTTGGAGGAAATAAATAAAAAACATTGTTTATTAGGTTTCATTATTAATTAATTTATAAATAAAGACAATAGGTATAAAAAAAAATTAACAAAAATCAAGGATAGTTAAACCACATCCATATACTGCGGCAGGTTATGCAGAAGATCGAAGAGTATAACTTGCCACTATGCTTGGAGTTCGTGGACTATGAGAAGGCCTTCGATTTGATCGAGATTTGGGCAGTGCTGCAATCTCTCCCTGCACCGCGGCCGTATCGACTCTCGTTACATCGAGGTACTGAAGTACTTCTACATAAACGCACCAATCCGGCCCGAATACAGAAGCAGAGCACGAGCGCGATTCCACTACAGCGAGGCGTAAGGCTGGAAGATTTTATACCTATTTCCAAAACTGTTCACCTGTCCAACTCCTGGAATGAAAGGATTCGGCATAAATATCAACGACGAGTACAACACTCACCTTAGGTATGCCGACCATAATATAATGGTCATGGCATAATCTTTGGAAGACCTCGTCACAATATTAAAGACCTTCATCGAGTATCCCAACTGGGCCTTTGGATGAACATGGAAAAAATGAGCTTATGTCGAATGTCCATGTTGCACCCTACCCAACTTCGGTTGGGATCTCAATTCTTGAGATTGTTGACAAGTAGGATGTCTACCTTGGACAAAAGATTTAGCTAGGTAGGTCCAACTTCGAGAAAGAGGTCAATCGACGAATCTACCTCGACTGGGCAGTATCCGGAAAACTAGACATCTTTTCGTCCAAACTAAAGTGCCTAAAGTAAAGTACTAGACGAGAGTCTACCATCAGTGTGTGTTACCCTATTATAGGTCCAAAACGTTGGCTCTCAAAGAAGCTCAAAGTTGCACAGCGTGCTATAGCAAGGGTTATGTCAGTGTTANTGTAAAAACTGAAAAAATGTTGTGACTGACCTTCAATATCTCCATAACCATACGTTTCTCATAGTCCCGAAGAAAAAAATGGTCTTCGTGATGTGGAGAATACGTTTATACCCGTTATATTTTGGGCAGATTTGCTTCCTCTCAGAAACATACGAGTCCAGTGCAGCATGGGCATAAGATATGACAACTAAGTACCTACCTACAGCAGCACAGATTTATTTGTATTGTTTTTTTCTTTTCAGACGGAACTGAACACTGTAGAAGAAGAAGGCAGATGCCGGTCAGATCCCGACAGGAGAACGCCAAGTGTCAGCGGAGGTCTTCCCATGCTTCTCCTCTCAGTTCTACCCCCTGTCATACCCCGAGCGAGCTGGCCATCCGCCGAAGCCTGCCGCGGCCGAAACTCCGTCAGCTTCAGCTCGCAACCAAAACTATACCACAGGAAGTCTCAACCAGCTATCGACCTTTACAATCTCTGCCTCAACAAGCGAGAAGAACACACCGGTCTTCTTAGTAGACTAAAAAGCTTCTTCGGCAGTAGACCGAGCAGTAGAAAAGCATCTACTATGTCCATAGCTGATCCAACTGGACAAAGCATAGCAGCTGCTCTGAAGATGCACGTAGGAATGATAGCTGGTCTCATGCCAGGGAACAGAAAACACTCCATGGTTTTATCATGCAACACGCTGCATGTTCCCCACCCTGAGTTGAGATTACGAAGGGAATCTTACGCAAAGAGCGGACCCATAATAAGGATAACAGACGACGAACCTTCATGCTCATATCAGCCGGGAGAGGCTCGAAAAAGCATATCATCGACTACCAATAAATACGTGGCAGAGCCAGAGACAAAAGTGAACTTCGTGTTGCCAACTACACACAAAAAGCCGATGTCCCACCAAAACTCTTGCGAGAGATTCAAAGGTTCTCCGAGATTCCCTCACAGGATTTCTCCTACAGCTACCAGTTTGACTACCCTCGACACTAGAAGAAAAACCAGTGCTGACAGTGTGTTCAATATATCAGGGAGGATATGCGACGAGCAGCGGCGGTACAGTCACCAGAATATGACAGTCAATCAAGAGGCAAAAGATAAATCTATTCTGGAAAGCAAATGGAAGTCGACAGAAGACGCCAGACCTGGACCTTCGTCTCAGAATTAGTTTTATTTTGGTCTTAATAAGCAATTTCAACTGCCATTGATTGTAATCCTTTTTAACATTCGTGTATGGTTTTTTATGAAATTGACGATTCTTAAAACACGAGGGCTGTATATTTAATTTCTGAAAAGACTCGTTTTGTTCCCATTATCATTTTTGTGGAGCTTTTTCGATAATAATATATTAGTGTGTCAACAACAGCCCTCTTTGTGTGGATACTTGAATATATTTTGCCTTAGAGTAGAGTTACTGGTTGGTGTAAAATAGATATTTTTGTGTGAATATGTAACTTCCTAATATCAAAGTGTGTAGCAAATGTAAGGATAATTATTATAATAATATGTAAATATGTGATGCCAAAAAAGGAACTTTAACACCAAAGAGTAGAATAGATTAAACGTCTTGATGTATTAAAAAGATTTGACTTCATAGTAATAGAAAAATCTTTATATTACCTACATTAAATAACTTAAATATATGTGTATGTATAAACACATTTCATGATAATTCTATGACACTAAATTATTACCCAGATATCAACTGTATTAATGTACAAAAACATACATCGCCTTTAATTAAAAAAGAGTGCCAATGAAGTACCTATATCTATGTGAAATCAAAAACTTAAGGCCAAATTATTTAAAGTATAATAATGTTTTTTCCCGGATAATGAAGTACCTCGATGCGGTCATTTTTATATGTGACTTTCCTAGTCTTCAAACTACCACCTTACAAAAAAAATGTAGATTCTTAATTAATAAATAAGCAATAATTATGTAAAATGTTAGCTATAACTAATATTACAATTTTATTTTAGTGCCTATTAGAAATAAATCTGGCACTTTATTTTTAGAACGAATTATATTCTAGTCTTACCCTTGAGTCTAAGAGTGGTCCTAGAGAAGTGTTCATATTTTATATTTGTAAAAAGCAAACTCTATGGTGAACTAGACGATTCCTTGGTTTAGAATCTATTTGTGTGAATATGTATTAAAATTTTAAAGTGTATGCAAAATATTTGTTTTATTCAAATACTTTTTATTTGCATTGGCATTGTATGCAGTTGTACCTAATAAAATTGGCCAGTAGGTATGTCTATGAAGCCGTATTTTGAACTAAGATATTTTACCTGACTGCGCCAGAAAGATTTGTAGAATTTGTTTCTCCAAATTCTAATTGGAATCCAATAGCTTCAAAAATTACAAAACTATGTACCTACCTGAAACTAATGCAAAGAAGTAGGTAGTAAAAGCTAATCGGCTTATCAAATAAAACAACATATTTGTAACAGCAGTCTATTCCATCTAACATAAACTGTACACTAACCTACGCCACGTTCCTGATCGCACCAGAATCGACCATCTTCACTATCCTATCTTCAATTATCCTCTTTATGTTAGCGTTGACACTTGGCAGTTCACTGTGCTTCCTCACAGAGGCCTCGATTTTCTGGACTTGCTGCACTTCTCGGGGCCAAGCGATGAAATTCGTGACGTGGCAGTTTTGGGAGGAGCCGATGCGACCGGTGCGCCCACAGCGATGGATGTAGTCGGCAGTGTATAGTGGGAAATCGTAGTTGATTATGTGTTGAACCTGTAAAAGAAATGGTTATGAAAAAATACATTTTGAAAGAGCTATTCAAAATGTGGTGGGATGCCACTTATGTATTCTACAGAGATTATGTAAATGTAGCATAACAAAAAATATTATAATATATATAATATAATATAATAAATAATAAATCTTTGGACAATTTCACACAGCGCCAGCTAGCCCCAAAGTAAGCAATTTAATGCTTGTGTTATGGGTGCTAGCTTAACGGATATACTACTTATATAATATGTGTAAATCAATTGTCTGGTTAGGTACCACAACAAGCTTTAGATAGTTTGGTGGATGTTGATGGCACAGTGTTATATTTACTTGGAGCTAGAAAATAATGCATTTACTCATAGAGCATAAAGCTTGTAGAGCAGAATGCCTTGCTGATAAAGGCTTCATTAATTTAATTACTATAAAACTTACGCGAGTAGTATCCAATCCTCGCGACGCTATATCCGTGCAAGACAACACATTGACTTTGCCACTCTTGAACAGATCAAACTTCCCCATTTTCAAAGCAACGGCCATCTGTCCATTTATATTGATGCATTCAATGTTATTCTCGTTAAGGAACATCGACACAAAGTCACAAGTGGACGTTTGGTTGGAGAATATCATCACTGGGTGCTTCATATTCATGTCTGCCTGGACCAACTTCAAGAGCTCAGCTGGTTTATGGGCCTTGCCAAGTCTGAGGAACCTTAAATAACATAGAAAAATTGTTAAAACTAGCAAGAGAAGTGACAGAAGCGTTTTTTATATTGATTTAGCATTTTAAAGCATTTGAATAATAGTTCAAAATATACATTTAAGCTTATAATAGGCTGACCGTCTTCAATATTTTAGACCTATCACAGGCTTAAATCTACTGGAGTTTAGATTCATACTTGAGTTACATTTCTTAACTGTTCCTTAAAACAGACTTTCTAGAGATTATTTTATCTATTTCAATTTCTATTACAATAAAGTTGTATCACAAATAGAGTCATAAATACATACTTTTGAGGCACATGTGGCAATATTCTATGTACGTTAGAGGTGGTCACAGTTTTTAAAGATTCAGGATCAACAAATGAATTGACTGTTGCTGGTAATTCATGAGGCATTGTGGCACTCACAAAGGTTACTTGGCAACCCACTGGAGGCGTCTGGATTTCCACTTTGTGACGTATCTGGAAGACATAAGTTTCATGAACTAAAAAGAAAAAGGACAATGACCAAAAGTGGTCCAAATGTCCACCACCAATGAGACCTACACTGGCTTATAGTCCATTAAATAGAGATTAACTTTCAGTATGGGACGAAAAAAAAATAAGCTGTCAGTAAAAAGTTATGACCGTTTCAAAATTTTAGTAGTTTACGCGCTAATCTCAAGAACTACTGGTCCGATTTGAAAAATTCTTTTTGTTATGGATAGCCTATTTATCAAGGATGATTTTAGGATAAATAACATCATCCTACAGCCAATAGGGGCGGAGCAGTAAAGACAAATGTTGTAAAAATGGGAAATATTATTCAAACTATTTTCACGCATACAAAGTTGTAGGCACATTATTATTTAATAAAATTGATCTATAACCCAGCGCCACATGCGACATGACATAACATGCGTAGATAAGTCCAAAATGTGCAATGGATATAATGATATTAAGAACATTTTTCGGACGAAACGGTAAAAAACAGACTTTTCATTCAGTCATAACTTTTTACTGACAGCATATTTTCGATTGCGGTTTGGTTATAATGAATCAGTATTTAGTAGACTATTTTACTACATAGGTCTCGTTAGTGGTGGACATTTGGACCACACTTCATACATTTTTGGTCAATGTCCTTTACAGGAAAATGTTGCTATAACTTGTTGTTATATGATGATAGACATAACACTCAATAATAATAAAAAAATATTACAGCTGGGTTGCATCATCTTGCTTTACTAAACACACATCAAAAATCTGTCAAACTCCATACAAAACTACCGGTTATGGTCATGGTTCTGTTTAAATAAGGTAGTGCAACTCGCCTAATTTCTAGGTATTACTAAAGTCAAAATTCATGTGATCATGTGAAACACACTAAGCACAAAAGTAGAAAAAACAAGACTTACAGAAAACTTCTTCATCAAGTTTGCTACTTTTCCAATAAAGCTATCATCAAGCAAAGAATCTGCTTCATCTAAAACCACATGGTGAACATTGTGTAGCTTGAAAATACCAGTTGTAACCAGCTTGCTGTACGCTCCTAGAGTTGTGACAAGTATATCACAGTATTCTATCGGGGGATCCAGCATCTTCTGCTTGGTTTTACCGNACGACGTTGTTCGACGACGCCGACGATATATTTTGCCTTAGAGTAGAGTTACTGGTTAGTGTAAAATAGATATTTTTGTGTGAATATGTAACTTCCTAAATTCAAATTCAATTTTTTTTATTGCTTATTACTGTTTACAATATCAAATATCAAAGTGTGTAGCAAATGTAAGGATAATTATTATAATAATATGTAAATATGTGATGCCAAAAAAGGAACTTTAACACCAAAGAGTAGAATAGATTAAACGTCTTGATGTATTAAAAAAGATTTGACTTAATAGTAATAGAAAAATCTTTATATTACCTACATTAAATAACTTAAATATATGTGTATGTGTATAGTAAAAATACATGATAGTTCTATGAAACTAAATTATTACCCAGATATCAACTGTATTAATGTACAAAAACATAATTATGTATGCCTTTACTTAAAAAAAAAGTGCCAATGAAGTATATCTATGTGAAATCAAAAACTTGAGGCCAAATTATTTAAAGTAAAATAATGTTTTTTCCCGGATAATGAAGTACTTACCTATGTGTGACTTTCCTAGTCTTCAAAATACCACCTTACAAAAAAAATGTAGATTTTTAATAAATAAATAAGCAATAATTATGTAAAATGTTAGCTATAACTAATATTACAATTTTATTTTAGTGCCTATTAGAAATAAATCTGGCACTTTATTTTTAGAACGAATTATATTCTAGTCTTACCCTTGAATCTAAGAGTGGTCCTAGAGAAGTGTTCATATTTTATATTTGTAAAAAGCAAACTCTATGGTGAACTAGACGATTTCTTGGTTTAGAATCTATTTGTGTGAATATGTATTAAAATTTTAAAGCGTATGCAAAATATTTGTTTTATTCATCAAACCAATAGACAAATACCTAATAATATAAATATTTCTCTATGGAATCGTATTTTTGAAATAAAAGAATTTCGATTTGATACAATATCACCCAACAAGTAAGTGATTTTACCTGACTGCTCCAGAAAGATTTGTAGAATGTTTCTCTAAATTCTAATTGGAATCCAATAGCTTCAGAAATTATAAAACTATGTACCTGAAACTAATGCAAAGAAGT